TAAAGATCCTTAGCGAGGAGCACTTTGCGCCAAACTATTTGATGATAAAACCTTTGAAATAATGATTTAAATTTGAAATTGAGAAGCAGTCGCAAAGGATTCAGTCAGTATTTTTCTCTTTTGAGCCAAACTTCTTCATCTGGGGGCAAGAAGAGAAGCAGAAAGGATGGACGGGAGGAAGAGAGACGTGTACGAGGACATCTGTGTGTGTATGAGTTTGTACGTTTTAATTGTAATGGGGGTGTACATGTGTATGCATTTGCAAACTCAATGTTTGTGAGCATCGCCGTGCATTCCTGTGTGTAGTTTGTCTCTTGCCGAGTGCTTGATTTTTTTGAACCACTGTAAACACACCAGAGCCTTGTTAACGATGCCACTCAGAGTTAATGCTCAAAACAACTTTCAACTGAAAATCCGCTTTTCGGGAAAGTCTGAATTCCACGCTTATTACTGCAGAATAAATGCTGATCCGCACTCCACCTCAACGTGGCGTCGGAAATCTTTGGCAGAAACTACAAATTCCCTTTTTAAACATAGCACAGAGTGTGTGTACACCAGGTAAACTGTATTTCCATAAACTGTCATTTCAGGATGCACTCTCGCCCCACGCACGTCAAAATTTCCACAGTAGGTTGCTGACAAGGGGTGGGGGGGACATTTGCAGTACGTGGAATAAATCCTATATTTTCTTTTTCTGCTGTTAAAATATATCTGACATATTCAAGGAGTGAAAGAAATGCAACAGACACATGCATCCGCTACCAGTAAAACCCACAAAGATGCCTCAAAAAACTTCATATGGATGCTGACAACAGTGCACTGTGTGTTGAGGTTGCCCTCTGCTGGGCTCTTTTTTGCAACTTTGGAAGATAAGTTTAACTGCTTCAAGGCACAATATAATGTTACTAGATTAACATTTTAACAGAGCATTTACACCAGACTTCACTTCATAGAGGGAGGTGCTAAGCTATAGGCTGCCGAAGGTGCAGAACAGTTTGACAAAGATTAAATGCTGGCGTAGATGCGTAAGTAATTGGAAGGATGGGAATGTAAATACCTCAGAGCAAATTTATTATTATCAGGAGATTGACTTCTTGCTCTTATTGCATTTGCTGTTTAGAATAAGAAGAAATAATAGCTTCATATTTTATTCTGAAAGTTGTTGTGTTTTTTTTTAAATATTTGCATGTTAATAGCTGTAAAAAAAACCTATTCAAACTACCATAAGAGCCCTCAATCAATCATAGCAGCGTACTTATGATAAGGAGCACAATTCCGCTTTTGTATGTATCCTGTGGAGCGTCGCCTTGACTTTGAGAACAGATTAATAAAAGAAAACCTGCCCGGAAATGAATAGGTGTGGAGCCTTTGCACATTGCATTGCCTTTGTCTTTGATTTGATTGTTGTCACACAATGCTTGAGCTATTTGATGTCAAGACACCGGGAAATTCGAAGATTTGATCACAAATAAAATCAGTGAAGAAAACTAGCATAAAAATGATTGCCTATGATTTTCTGATGATTGTCTTATTACAGATTTGCTATGTGAAAGGTGACTCCGGAAATCTCCCTTTGTGTCGGATAATTGGTTTAAACAGTGTTTAGACCTTTTAATTAAGTAATAATTATTATCATACTTAAGCAGCTTAACTGTTGTGCACCGCTTAAAAGTCCCCAAATTATATTTATAATATACAATTGAGGTTTTTTTTTTCCAGATTAATAAAACCTAAATTATTTTGGATCAATGGATCATAGTTACTGGTAAATAAAAAATCACTGATGTGCATTTATCTATTTCATATTTCAGCTGTTTTCAGTTTTAATTCCTGAGATGTTGCTTGATAGATTAATTGATAATAATATGATTAATCTGCAAAATAATAAGAAATACAAGTTTTCAAATAAATAATAATAGTAGAATAAATAGATTAAGAAGATTAAACCTGTACTTGAGCAAAATACTAAGTCAGTACTGAGCTATCATCCAAAGGTATTAGGTACTGTAAGGTTAAGCAGATAAGACTAAAGGGCATAGATCCCAAAGAAGGCACAAAGCGCACACACAACAGAAGGTAAACAGACACTCTGACAAAGGATTGAAGGGAAGGGCAGGGCTATGAATACACTTAAGGGTAATAAGGGAGAATGGAAACAGCTGGGGAAGAAGAGGCAGGTGAAGTAAATCCATAAATAATGATACAGGATGTAAAACAGAAGGTAAGACACACAAAACAGGGAAACTCAAAAGGTAAAATGAAACTGCATTTCAAAAGTAAGAATAAAGAAGCTTAAACTTACCCCCCCTCCCCCCCAATGGAAAACAAACAAACAAACAAACAAACAAACAAACAAACAAACAAACAAACAAACAAACAAACAAACAAACAAACAAGCAAAAAACCCATAAGAAAATACTATACAAAAGCTCAAAAGGTCCATGACAGCAATCAATACTTTATCATTATTTTTTCTAATCAGGCTACAACTTGGTGAGCCTTTTGTTCTACAAGGGAAGGTGGTGAATTGGACACGAAAGATTTTTGGGTGAATTAATATAAAGCCCATTTTTAAAGAGACTGTATTTACCATTCGCTCCAACAAGATGTGACATTTGTTATTTTTCTATGAACACACTAACAGTGATAAAATTCCTGCACTCATTATTAATTCAACCCCAGACACGGGACAACAAGGATATCATTAAAACACTCACAGACAAAAATCTCTACATTTAAATGCAACACACAACCTACACGCAGCAGCTTGTTGAACTAATCCCTTGACAAATGCAAAAACACATAATTGTATGATCCTCATTTGAAATAACACCAGAAATCATTTATTTCCATGTTTTAAGAAAAAAAAAAACCCTTGGAGACATATAAATAAGGCAACAGTATTCAAAGTTATTTTTATGTCTTGGAAGAGTTTGGGGATTTTCGGTGTATGGATGTGCTGCGGGAGTTTCATCCCATTCTCCAGTTTCTAAAGTGCCTCCCATGTGAATTGCAACGACACAGGTTTTTGTATTTCTCAGGGGCTGCTGCAGCTTCATCAGCATGACTGATCTCATTTATCATAGTCGCATTCAAAGAGGCCCGAGGTGTAGGGAAGGGAGTTTCAACGGCAGTACCATCAGTGCAAAAGCACAGATCAGTGAGCTGCTGGGGACCATATGAATGCATGAATAACAGTTTGTATTTAGGATTTTGCTGCATGTGAAATTCCAGGATGGAGGAGGTGTATGGTGCCTCATAATGGGATAAACAAACAGATCAAATGGCTGCACTGCACTGCATCATCTTATGTACTGAATTCAACATTCCTGTGTCCATATTTTATGCTGAGATTTGCAGAATAAAAGCGGATTTTATTCAAACAACAATACCCTGGGTATATGTAAGTGATTTCTCTTGATTGTTAATATTACAATATAGTATTTTAATAAATACTATTTTCTAATTTTCTTTAACTTTGCGTTTTAAATATGAAGTTCGTGTTTATAATAATCACTAAAATGTTGCCTAATCCTGTTGAATCACAGAAATCTCTTTAATCTTACAAGAAAAAACAAAACATTATCTCAAAAAACAAGCAGAGGTATGAGCAGACAGAGAAGCTCCTTCTATAGCTGTGCGAGTACACTCATCATCCCATGATAACCCTCTATGTAGCTCCACTTACCGCAACATTTTGTTCCTTTGCTTGTAATTGATTTCTACTTTAATTTATTAATATAGCCTATAGAGCGCCTGCAGCACAATGCTAGTTATCTGGGGCCCACCAGGAGCCTAATCTCTTAAGATGAGCTGAATTAATAAGTGTCTTCAAGTAACATATTGATTACAGAATCAATGCCTGTTTCTTTGCATCATGCTCAAATCATTATTATAAAATATAACAGTATTGTGGCACCTTGTTCAATCGTTTTACTTCAGTGCGCATTTCAAAAGGCTCTCTTTTGATTGATAGTGTGTCTTACATAATGAGAGGGCATTCAAAAATACGATGTCTCGATAGTTGTTTTCCACCACCTCCAGGTTGTTATTGATAGGGGTTATCTGATTCCCTCAGCCAAAAAACCCTATTGTAGTAGAAGAGTTGCTCTTAACTTTTAAGGGTTTTTAATAAAGACGAAGTTTCATGGCTTCCAGGTCACTTCTTTCGTTCTTTCTTTCATGCCTACAGGCAGATGTGGATTTCTACAAGTATCATTTACAGGAATTGAGAGTTTCGTACAAATATAGAATTATCAAATCATCCAGTCGTGCCAATAGGGACTAGTACTGTATATCTACACCTCGATCATCAATCTAAGTTGAGAGAATAATGTTGTATCCCTTCCAGGCACATACTGTACCAAAAAGAAACAATCCGAGGATACAAATCTGATGTCTTTTTTTTCTTCAATATTGTTACGTCAAAGGAAAGATGCTTTCAATCTGTAATTTTACCCAGAAACCAGCTCTTCCACTTTGAGCAAAATTCTATTTTTATACACTCATAATACCACAAATCTTCTTAGAGGTTTTCTTAAGATTACATGTGACATAAGAAGTCACTTCACAGTACGCACAAGCCTGTTTTAATGTTATTTTGCACATTTGCCATTTGAAAGCATTTTCCTACACAGTGCACTTACAGTAAGCACATCAAATATCATTTTGAGCAGCTCAGCAAAACCTTTATTGGCTTTATCTACATTATACATACATGTATTCTCTGAATATCTTAATAATAGGAAGTCCTTTAGGATTGTTTTTGTGGCAGAATGCATTCAGCACTGCTCCGAAAAAGAGAAAAGGAATGAAAGAGCAGCTGTTACACATATAAATAACACACCTCGGTGAAAATTAGCCAACAAAATTCAAAATTGTTGTTGTCTCCTAGAAATTAGACAGTTATTGCAGCTTGACAATATGTGTACATAAAACGAAATCAGTAGATCACATATGCAAACTTTAGCAAGCTCTATCACATCTCTGCTGCAACACTCTCAGCGGGTTAGTTTGAGTGCAGTGGGATGAACATTGCAGATATCAAACCAATGCTGATCCACCTCCTTATGTGGCAGCAGGCCATTTCGTGGCAGAAAGGGCCGTCGCCAGCGATCACGACTGCCCACTACTTGCCAGAAGCGTATGCCCTTGAGTAGAAAGATGGCATTGTGAGTGTAGGAGAAGTAGGCAGCGTCAATGTTGCCATCTGGATGGTCTGTGTTCACCACAGGAGGGAAAACATCTCTGATGTTTTTTGGGAACCCTCTTGCCAAGTTGTTGGCTTCCATGCTGAATGCATACACCTGTTCAAAGAGATAATTGCTCTTTTTTTTGTTATGCAGAAATCAATTCAATTATACAATGCAAACAATTCACAGAGGAACTTTAGTGCATTTGTTTGCTTGAAGACATTCCCTCATAATCCTAAGAAACAATTAATTAGCTTGGGTTTTCTCCAGGACTCTGCTTTTTATATCTGCATGTTCTGCTAATCGGTATTGCTAGATTGCAAACCACAGATGGAAACTGTTTGATTAATGACCATTAAGCCTAAGCCACATTTTAAGTCTAAATAATGTATAATGTATAATGGTCTGTGTGTTTTAATATCGAACCACATCATTCCAGCTTGTCATTTAAGCATTATTCATGAATATTTCCTAATTTACTTTCTTACTGAACCTCATGTCTTTGCTCTTGTATCAGTGTAATAATATCTGACAGCCAGGTAATATTGCACTTACAAGATTGTTTTTAAAGAAGTAGATGTGGGAGTCCCTCCTGTCATAAAAGGCTGTGTCAATAGGACTTGGCACCCCTGGGAATCCTTCAGAGATTAACCTCGGATAATGGTGGCCTTCAGAGTCTTGTCCAAACACCTGGTCGTTCTCACTATCATACCTCCAGAACTGAGTACCTGTAGATAAATAAGTTAATTACATTTTCACCAAGTATTCATTTGTTCACTAACTCTTTTCAAACAGTATAACTCTCCACTTAGTGTACCTCTGAAGAAATATACAGCATCTCTTCTCCTGGACCAGACATGGACATGTGCATCTACTCCATCCATTGGGATCCCATGCCAGCCAGTTTGCAGCGGAACTGGATCACCATAACGCGTTCTATTATTTCTGTTCTCATACAGCCAGTACCAGCCATCTCTCATGAAATAGGTGTTAAAGCGGATCACCACCTCCCCATAGGGTGTCCTCTCCTTTCTGATCCAATCAAACACCGTGTTGAACCGACCTTTACAGCCTCCTGGTGTCAAATGCAAGCACAACAGGTGGGGCAAAAAAAAGGGTTTGCGTCAGACAATTAGGGCAAAAATACAGCAAAGTGCATTTCTCTAAGAGTGTATAAGTAACCACTAGATGGTGCTGTAACCATGTACCATAGAGTTGCTGTATAGCTTTTCTGTCCATCCAGTCCATTTCAAAGCTGGACTCCTGCGGTAGATAGCTGGGCTGCATTATGGATCCGGGTCTATATATGTGAGGTAGACCCAAAACATGGCCAATCTCATGAACTGCTACCTGAACGGGTTTAATATTTTTAAGGCGTTGTTAGAGCAATGCGTTGTTAATCACTGGAATTATTTCAATCTGGCAGTTCCTTTGATCGTGCAGTAATATAATTACTTTGAGAAGGCTGATTCCACTGCCAACATTGGGAGTTGTGAAGTGCTCATCATCATCAAAGTGTATATCACCCAGGAACCAAGCATGGGCAAATTCTTGACCAGTGCCATCGAACTTCTGATTACATCCCAGATGCCTTCCTATGAAAGAATTTCACAACGATGCAATATGTTATTTGGCACAAAAAGGAGGTACAGTGGAAACATTAATGATCCTCTTCAGACATACATACACATGACCCTGAGAAGGGCCAGTCTAAGAAGACTGCTGGTGGTTTACTTAGTTTTTGTGTTTAATAAGCCTCATTAACAGATGCTTTATTAGTCTTAAACATATATGTGGCCAAGCAGATAACATCCTTTAACTTTTTTATCCTGAAATGAGAAATTAACCTTCACAGACTAGTGATGTGAAAGATCAAATCTAAACATTCCACATTTTATTCATAAAAATAGTGATTTACATATCCACCTAACAAGTGAAAGATCCCCAGTGTCATCTCAGGAGAAGACACAAATCCTTTTGGGGTTGTGTCAGGAAGGGCATCTGGCATAAATCTCTGCCAAACCAGACATGCGGAGCTACCTGCTGTGGCCCCTGTGAATAAAGGAGCAGCCAAAAGTAGCTTTCATGCTGCAATGAAGCTCATAAACATTGACTAAAACCCACCTGTACCAAATCCCAGCTTGATGTCAACATCCTCCAATGGGGCATGTGTATCCTCCACAAATTCCAGTGGCGACACCTCACTCCACATCCTGAAAGCCAGTCTGAAGATGTATCTCTGGTCGTCAATAGTCAGCTGGCTGCTGTAGCCTTCTCCTATCAGCCGCCAGTTTAACACCTTCTTGGAAAAAGCCATGTGGCCAGTTGGAGTCAAATCTCTCTTCCGCCTGCTTTTGGATATGAGACTTGCGAGAGGTTCCTTCTTGCGTCTCACTGCTTCACTCGGATGCGCGTTCGCACTGATATTCCCCGTTTGGCTGCCCGGTCTGCTGTCGTGCGAGCTGTTTAGGGAAGTGATCTTTAAAAGCTCCGTTGTATAATTCATGCTGGTGTCATTGGAAATGGCTGTGAACACACCGTCTGTATCATTAAAATTTAATATGTCGTCTTCAGAGAAATTTGCAGTACCTAAAGAAGTGCCACTGATTATGTCACTTGCTGTGTTGTTCCTGTTGGTCTCAGTGGTACTGTTTTCAAAATCAAAGTCACCACTGCTCTGAGGTGCTGTAGTGATGACAGGGATGGTCAGACCAGTCTCTTTATCAGGGACTCCACACCTTGGTTTGTTCATTGCTAACTTGGTGGCCTCATCAAACACTCCTGTAAGAGGCAGACCTGAAACCCTCTGAAACTCTTTAAGTGCTGAAATAAAGGCTTGGTTCTCATTTTGACGGTTATAGCCCTGCTGATCACCAGCTCGATGAGCAGCCCTCGAGTAAGACGCTGAGGTTCCCTCCTGGATTGTGGCTTGAAGATCGCCGAGGAAGTCACCACTGAAAGAGGTGTCTGAATCCTCAAACCGAACCTCCTCCCAGTTAACTGGCTTGATGAATCCATATCTAGAGAGAAATAACTAAAACAAGACACGGGTTACATTAGACAAATCCTGTGTCTGGTTAAATGGATGCTGACGTTTGAGAAACACAGGAAGTCAAAAAAGAAGAAAAAAAAACAATATACCTCAGCTGTGTACTTGTCTGTTATAGCCTGAGCTTTGTGAGAATTAAGTATCTGCGTATCAGAATGATCCCGATTATGGAAAAGTTTCTCTGCATCAGTTGTGCTAATGTTGGTCAAAAAGAACATAAATATCAGCTGGATTAAATTCAGCATCGTGGCCTTTAGCGGTGTACTCCCGGGTCTATATGCAAGATGAGATGATGACGAGTGAGGAGCAACGCTGCTTTATAAGCAAATCCTTTGCTTCTCCACACCCCTCAGAGGTGTGACTCTATAGATGTAACCTGCTTTCTTCACCTCTGCGTGAAAAGTAAACTTTTACAATCTACAACTGCTCAATTTGACTCTTTCTCTGTGGTTATGTTATACAAGCTTCAGTGGTTTTAAATGGACTGCAGCTGATCCGTGGAAAGATGTTAAAACCTTCACTTTCATGTGGACAGTAAAAGACAGGGATGACCCCTGCAAGCACTGTGTTGAACAGGAAACACAAAAACACACACAAGCAATTACCACAGACAAAACCTTCAATATTATCACAATGATTGCCTTTTATTTTCTCAGTCATTTTCTTACATCATATAAAGCAAATTATAATTTTATCTTAGACTTTCCTGGCTCTGGTGCTGCAAAAAATAACTTTTTTCTTTCAGTGCAAAAATAGCAGAATCATGTGTCCAACAACAATAAAGATGAGCAGTAAAGCAGTAAAATACACAAATGACAGTACATATTTACATATATAATAACAACAAACACCAAAGATGAGGCAGGTGGATTTTAAAAGCTGGTCACTGCAGAGTTTTAGCTATCGCTATCGCCAGGTGTTCAGCTGTTGGCTTTTCTGCAGTGCAGCTGACACAAAGGCCTTCTGCTGCTATTGCATCTTGTGTAGTAGGCCCTATGGCTGCAAACTGGAAACAAAGACATTTATGAGAGTAAAGCTATGTTAAGCACTTCAGATTCATGCATTATTTAAATCTATTTGTGTATGACTGTGAGGAAGATGCACCTTTATTTGAGTCAGCTGTTCAGCCGAGAGCCTCCGCACCACTTCAAGGCAAAACTTCACTCCTGATGGACTGAAGAAAGCTATGCTTGCTGGAATGCCCTATAAGCACACAAACAAATGAACAGCTGCTATATTGAAACAAATAAATAAATACAATAAGAATGACACTTTACCTGCTCTGTGAAATAGTTCTTTAGATTTTTCTCCAGATTGGGATGCTCTGCTGTTTGATAGACAGTTAATGTCTCTAGGGGCACTCCTGGAAACAAAGAAACAGATCCCAACAGTGATAAAGATAGTGCAATTATTATTTTATAATTAGAATAATCCCAATGGGAATTTTATCACCTTGACTTTTAATTGTCAGGCACAACAGGGGGAATGCTTACCATTTTCCCTTAAAGCCGTGGGCAAGACTTCCCTTTTGATTGAGCCACAGGGGAAAAAAAGCGGTGGGATATTGGTGGCCTCTCCTATGACGGGAATTATACGTGAGATCATATGAGTAATAAGAGCAATCATAAAATTACTATTAAAATTAAACTGTGAGGAATGTGAGACTCCAAATTTACGCCGTACGTTCAATAATAAGTCGTGATAGCACCTCTGCTGTCCCTGTGTCCTCTCCCAAAGGGTTCAGACCTAGATTCTGTACTGTATGGGATAAAAATCATGAAAAGGAAAAAAATTGATAAGCTTTACAGTAATGTGGTAAATTCTTGAACCACCCCACATTTCTTTATATTTTGCTAGAAAATGGGAAATAGGCGCAGCGATGTTTTTAAAAGCAGAAAACACTAAAAAGACATTACGGTCTAGTCTTTTCTAAGTCATCTGCTATGTGTAGACACAACAATTGTTCATTCCTTGACTTGGGTGCATTTTTTTATACTTGATGCATTCATAGGCCAGTGTTAAGTGGCTTAACAACCAAACCACATTCCTCTGAAAATGGCACAGTACAAAGCCTGGATTGAAAATAAGTGGAAAAACCAGCAAATGTCAAAAGACAAATTTGAAAGACTTTCTGAAAGCCTGGATGAGTAACTCAAGAGCACTTTGAAAAATTACAAGGACGTCTGAGTCCTTGGAAGTAAAATACAAAGAAATGATGGTGGCTCAATACTTTTGCACAGTCTGCTAAATACTGACATAAGAGTGGCAGTGAAAACACATTCAATGGTTTCAACTAATTCAATAACTAACTTAGAAGCTCACTGAGAGACTCAAAATAAAAACCCACTGTCAAATGTTACTGAAAAGAAGAAGCTAAAGCACACATGTAGAAAGTGTTGCACCTGCTTGTTTTGTAAAGACACAGAACAATCACTAACGGCAAACTGTCACTTGTGTATAACGAATGGCTGAAGGTAGACAAAGCATTTCACACATCACTATGAGCACCAGGTGCCCGACACACTCTGGTGCAATTAGCACAAGTTTACAAGGAGCTCAAGACGCAAAGGAGGATTCTGGGAGAAATTACCTTTGTCCATAGATGTGACTCACCTAATGAAGCGGTGGCCTTCCCAACCACATAGATGGACTTGGTGTTCCATTTGTTTTTCACTGCTTTGTGCCATTCTCAAAAGCACAACATACACTGGGCATTACAGAAATGTACTACACAAACTTAACTTATATTTTTAAGATCTTTACCAAAAAAAGTCATTTATATCAATGATATACAGAAGCTTGGAGAAAAGTAATGTTTATCACCTTCCCTTCTTTCATCCGCTTCCAAACACATCCTTACAGCCTCCACTGCTCTTGGACTGGTAAATATGAGCCCACCGTATTTCTCTGGTTGGAAAAGCTGGAATAAGCAACAAATACATAAATCCATTGAATATGCAAACTGTTAAAATGAACGAATTAATAAAAGGACAATGGCACAACAATTTACCTTATCTGTCAAAGTGTTTAATGACACAAACTTAAAAGACAGCACCGGAAGTAGGGTTCCTTTATGTCCTCGTGATTCCAGCTCCTTCGGAGTGAAAATAATAACTGTTCAACTGACAAATTTTAAGAAACTGGTTAAAGGTTAGTTGATTTAACTGTAAAGGGCGTGTACCTTAATATAGGGATCAGGTCCAGACTCTCCATCTTTTGGTTCTTTAAGCAGCAATACACGCATCTTGAAACACTGGATTATTAAAATAACAAAGATGGTTAATTCCGAACAAACTAAGGTAAAATAGGTTTACTAAGGTCTGCAATAATGTAAAGTCACAGGCTTAAAGCTACAAAAACACTGAGGACAGTGGGTGTGAAGGCACGTTAAGCAACGTTACACCCTAAAACGGTCACATGCTGATAAGACTGTTGTTGAGTCACGATCATAAGACTGTACATAAACAGCGAATAAATTAAGCGAATGGGCCATTTTAGTTGAAAGTGTATGTTTAGTGTCTTCTTCCGTAAGAGTGTTCTTGTTTACCCTAGCAAGACACGGTGCATGACAGACTATCTACGGTAGCCATTAACAGAACCTGTCTGTGATAAAGTGTGATAGAAGCGAATATTTTATCCGCGTATAGCTACAGTGACACGAAGTACAAACGGTGAAAAAGACGAAATATTAGGCAAAATTTATGTACCTCTAGTGTTCATTCAGACTTTCATCATCCACGGTCGAGGAGGGGAGACAGAACACTGTCTAATTTACTAACCTTGTAAAATAATCGTATTACAAGTAATATTACAAGAATGTGTTTATTTAATTTAAAAATATAGTATCAATAATTTAAATTAATATCTACTACACGTGACAAAGAGTTCGGGGGCATCTGAATTTATTTTCGTCCCCGTTTTATAGAATGGTTTATTCCATTTCACCAACAGGCGACAAGCCGACATTGAAGCTCTGAAGGTGGATTTAATAAGCGGCAAGCCGTGTATATGTGGAGCCATAATGGCGGCTTCAGAGTTTTAGTTTCGTAGCCGATAGTTGCTAGTCTTTGCCCCGCCCACTTAGTAGACACGTGTGTTTTAAGTTTGCAGCATGGCTTCATTGGCTAAGAAAAGGGCAGTAGGTTTTGGTGAAAAACCCGAGGAAAGTGACAACAGCTCCGATGAGAATCCAGAGGAGGAAGACGATTCCGGAGAAGAGGACAGTGAGGCGTCAGATGAGGAAATTAATGAGGTAAAAGAACAAACACGTCTTAGAAGGGAGGCATGGCCTTGCTAACTAGTTAGCTAAGTCAGCAGTAGGGCTAATGTGAACGGGAATGCTCATGAAAATACTTTTTTGGTTAATCATGTGAGAAAATAAATAACTAATATACTAGAAAATGTTATTTCGAAGATACTGTACTTGAATACGCTGTAATAAGTTAACCTTGTGAAACTCATATCGGAAAGTTTCGCACAACTAATCAGAGTATGGGTTACAATAACACTTGCAATTACGACTTCTACGCTTTCAGGAGGTCGTTGTAGACTTTGAAGCTCACACCATCTCAGACAATGACTTCAACGGCATAAAGAAGCTGCTGCAGCAGGTTTGGGTTCACTATTGTTATTTCACGTTTCAAATACTGTGTGCAAGCAGCTGTCACTGACGTCATTTCTGTTATGTTTGGATCCAGCTTTTCTTAAAAGCTCATGTGAATACATCAGAGATGACAGACATCATCATCCAACAAAATCATGTTGGAAGTGTCGTCAAGGTGAGTAACTCGGTAGTTAAATATAAAAAGGATTTGTTCATTATTTTTGTTTATTTCTCCAGTTTCAACCCAAAAACAGCTGTGCTCAGAAGTTTACATACATGATCAAGGAAATGTGTCATGAAAATTTGGGCTTTCAGTGATTTCTTTGAACTGTTCATCTTAATGCAAACAATGCTTACTGCACACATCTTAATGACTTAAAAAACTGCATTTGGGAGTACATGTTTGAATTTCTTTTGGAGTTTTATTAATCCAAATGGGATCAGAAGCAAACATGAGGGACGGACGGACGGACGGACGGACATACATACATACATACATACATACATACATACATTTTTTATCTTTTTTTGATTAGGGGTGTTGAAGGTTATACAGTGTCTTGACTTGATGAGGCCAAGGCCTATTTATCTTATTTGTAATCATTATTTACTACAACTGGTAATTTATCTTTAACAGCAATACTCAGAGCAGTTATTCGAATGTGGGACAACTTTGCCAAGATCTGGACAAAGACCTAAACTGTCACCCTGAGATGAGTTGTTTTGGATGTTCAGGAACCACCAAAGTTCAAGCCGTGAACTGGAAACTGCTGGAACACCAGCGTCAATTCACTGTCCACAGAGAATCCTTTGAACCTAAGAACACTATACTTTCAAACATGGTGGTGGCAGCATGATGCTCTGGAGCTGCTTTGCTGCTAACAGCATTGCTACATTATACAAAGTGGATGGCAACATTAGGCTTGAATCAATTCAAATGTGTGCACCCAAGTGTTTTCTTTTTTTAAAAGATGTATGTTGTGCAATCATTCCACCAGGAAAAGGAAATAATTTAAAACCCAAGCTTGACATTCATGCTCATTCACATTCATTTCTGAGCAGCTGTTTATTTACTTGTCTCTCTACTATGCTCCAGCAAGCTGAGGTGCCCGAAGACAGCGACGATGATGACGACCCAGATGAAGTGTTTGGCTTCATCACCATGCTCAACCTCACAGAGAGAAAGGTCAGATGACTAGCAAACTAAAACTAATTAGTCTTGAATGGGCTGGAATATGTCAGGGTTTTTTTTGTTTTTTTTTTAATATAAATTGTCATACCTACGTCTGGAACTGTTCACAGGGTGTACAATGTGTGGAGGAGGTGAAGGAGCTGATTGTGGATCAGTGTGAGAAGAATGCTTCTCATATTGTGACAGAACAGCTGGAGAAGATCTTTAATGATAACAGCAAGCCTGTGGGGCTGCTGCTAAGTGAGCGCTTCATCAATGTGCCTCCACAGATTGCCCTTCCACTGCACAAACAGCTCCAGTAAGTTCTGCTTTACCTTCTCATTCCATCTTTAGTGTTTTGTTATTGGGGTGAGAGCAGGTAGAAGATGGTCAGGATGGTGTTTGAAAACATTGAAATAAGACAGAACATGTGCAATACTTTGCAAATCTTATAAATCAGGATTTTATTCACAGTAGAATGTATGAAATATATCAAATGTTTAAACTGAGACCTTTTTAGTATTGCATGAAATATATTAGCAGCAACACATCTTAAATGTTGGGACAGGTCCATGATTACTATAGTGTAGGATCCCCTCTTAACTGTTGAACATCTGGGAACTGATATTTACCAGTTAACCTAATTGGCTATAAATGATTCCAGCTTTTTCTTTTTAATACCACTTACTTTTCCACCTTTTTATTGCTCTCATCCCAACGTTTTAATACATGTTGCGGTCATCAAATTCAAAATACTTTTTTTTTTTATTTATGAAACATTTGATGTTTTGTGTTCTATTAATAAAATATGGTGGTGAGATTTGGAAATGATTCCATTCTGTATTTATTTTTAATAGAAACTAGGAAAAACATCCATTTGTGTGGGTTAAAAGATTTTCATGTTACGGTCCTTTAGGGAAGAAATCGCTGAAGCTCAGAGGACAAATAAGCCCAGTGGGAGGTGCCACTACTGCCTGATTATCAGCAAGACCTGTAGAGAAGAGACCAAGAGCATCCCAGCCACAGGAGGAGCTCCCAAAGAGGAATACATGTTTGTCAATGCAGAGGAGGAATTCTTTTATGAGGTAAAGTGGAGGGGGAAAAAAAAACCTGCACAGATTTCAAGGTTTTAACTAAATATTTATTATACACAGGGCTACTTACTTAACAGTATCTGGGTAATAATACAGCATTTCGTTAACTCATGTCAAACTTCAGATAAATATTTATTTAAACAGCCATCTGATAACCTATTCAATATATTTATACTCTGATTTCAAGCCTGGTCCGTGTTTGCCTTACAGCAAGCCATCTTGAAGTTCCACTACACAGTCCAAGAAGAGGCAGACTCCTGTTTAAGTGGGAGGTGGTCATTTACGGACGTGCCCATGAAGCCTTTTAGGACTGTGATGCTGATACCCACAGACAGAATGCCTGCCATCATGGAGAAACTCAAAGAATATCTATCAGTGTGACCTTCACAATAAACCAAGACACCTATGGACACAGTGACAGCTTTCAAGCTTCTGAAAAACATTCAGTATATTCAATTTTTGTACAGTTGACTTTAGGAATGCGTGTATTCATATTTAGAATATGTAGGGTGATAGTTTACCCATTTTTAGAAATTTTAAAGACAGTTTGTACAAATTGTAAAGACATAGGGAATAATCACATACTTAAATACTGGAAGAAACTACATGCAACTGCATATCAAAGGTGTTTATAGGAAGACTTCAAAATGAGATGAGTTTGGTGTTAAGTTGTGGTAAACAGAAGAATGGGAGTAATGGCTACAGAGCAAATGAGTGGTATTGTAACACTGTAGGTATGTGGTTTTTAACATTCAGCTACGTGTTTCATCCCTTCAAGAGCAGACTTTCCTTGTAAGATAAATGAGCAAAGCACAGTTATTCTGAGCAAGTTGTTTCATACGTATTTCAGCTTTAAAATCAGATCCTTGGATGTGAAGGTATACTGGCATTTACAAC